ATAATAATAATAACAAGTCATGACTGGACCAGGCTACTGGTCAGTGATAAGTGGTAAGTTTCGCTTTCCACAGAAATGCTTGTAACGTTAGATGTGGTATGGAAGGGGCATCACCCAGGGCTTCCAATCACCGATCTCCTTATCTGATATTTTGTTTCAATCAATATCTGTTCGGCAGGGCAGGGAGAGCAGGCTGTGCACGACAGGGAAGAAAAAAAAGGCACTTTTCTATACAAGGCAAAAAGGGCAGGGGCTCAAGCACCCTTAGAGGTCTATTTGTGCACGTGCTTGGATATAAGACTTAATGTATTATCTCTTAACTGGAGCTGCATTATATTCTGTACAGAAGGACATGAACTAACATCACCAGGACCCATTCAAAAGTCATGTTTGTAATGCATTACATTAAAAAAAGGTAATGTGAGGAGACTGAAAATATATCAAATTTTCAAGCTGAGTAACAGCAAAAGGAGCTTATTACAATGTAGTCAGTCAAGTTTTTGACTACAAGTAGCACTGGGCTGCAATGCTTCTATGAGTGGAGCACAATTTTGTTTGCTCTCATCCATGAGCAAGTGCGCGCATGGTTTGGTTGGTGGTTTCACAGTATTCCACTGATCTACAGGTGGCAGTAGCATTCCAAGAAACTAGAGGCAAAAAATACATTGATACTCACAGGCTACTCATTTGGCATAGATTCCCTTAAAAAAAATAGCAATAAGTACAAAACATGGATGGCTACATCACTTCCAAACATATTTAATCATTGCAAGTTTGTCATATTTGTGCCAAAACAGACATAACATATTTAGTTGGCCCATGTCACATGACCGTGGAAACCAATGAGACACGAGAACCAAGCAAGTGCACACTGCACAGCTGCCAGCCACACACACTTCTCTTAAGCATCTTGTGTTGTCACTCTTGTTGTCTCAAAGTGAGCAAGTACATCAGAAATTGAAGAATGTCAGAGAGGAAACAAAGTGTGGTGTGATCCTACTTCTCATCTTTCTATAATAATACAGCAAGACGCACTATTTGTGACACAAGTGCCACACTGCTGCAACAAAAGTAACCTTTTCAAACATTTAAACGACATACCCTGAAACTTTTAAGGAGGCTGAGCAATGGAAACAAGATGCCCAGACAGCCAGCTCTTCTGTGTCACCTGTTGTCCATCAGAGGATGTTGAAGGAGAACTTTCAAACGGCAAAGCATATCCAGGCATCGGTGGCACATTAACTAATACCTCTGCCAAGGAAGTGGTGGAGGTAATGTTTTTGTTGTCTGCATTATATTCCTTATCATCACCACCATCTAATTTTAAGTCCAGACACTACAGATTTATAGAGTAAAATAGATAAATAAATATCACCATGAAGTTATGTTTAAATATGCAAATTAGTTATTGTTTAATTCAATAACAATTGTTATCTTAACAATGGATAAAGGCAGGTTCAAAATTTGTTTCATTTTATTGAAATATTAGATTTAAAGGTTTTTACAAAGAGCATTTTATTGCCCTCATATATCAGTAAAATAAACACCTAAATGTGTATCTCTCAAAACAATCTCAAAACTGACCAGAGTATGAAAAAATATATAGGTATTAAGTATAGTGGAAGAACAGGTACTTGTTTAGCTGACAAGGGACAAAAATTTCATTAACCTTAGCTCCTGGAAAAGAGCAGCAGTGGATCTCTTTCTCATATTTCCATCAATTGAATCTCTTATGACTAATGTAGCTGGTGAGGGAAGTCGCAGCAAGGCTCTGCTGACAGTCTGCCCAGAAGAACGCTCAGGTTAAGTCATTTGCCGCAGCATTGGAGGAAGTCAAACAGATGGAAAAGCAGACAGAGGTCACTCCTACTGCTTTTCTAAAACAGAGCAGCTAACAGCTAACTGATGTCCACCCACCCCCACCAACATCACAAATAGAAACTAATTCTGTAGGAAACACTGATAACATCAAAGATATTACTTTACAAACTTGGTATAAAAATATATTACTTGCTACGGCAGACTTTCTATCCTTTTCATTGGAATGACATGTTTTTGTCTGTGTAACCTAGCTTATTGTGGCTAACTTACCCTAAAGCAACAGACGCTGTGGATTGTGCCATATTTCTCTCTTGGTCAGCTGGCTTGCCCGGTTGTTACTGTCGTTGCCCTGGCAATCTGGCCCATGAATTTAGGGGGGGAGAGAGCTTTTGGAGGAGCATGTGTGTTTGTTTGGGTTTTGAGCCTGATTATATTATCAAAAGTCTCTCTCCAGAATTAAAAAACTCCAAGTTTAAACGCTATTGTCACTTTATTAAATAAGGAGCACTACATTAGAGCCCTGCGTGGGACTGTTTTCTTCAACCCGCTCCTGCCCGCTCCCGCTGAATTTCTGACCATTACCGTCTGCAACCGCAACGTGTGTATTACACTCCCTCCCGCTCCCGCAATGTGTATATCTACTCCCGCCCGCACCCGCAAAACTCTGAGAATTTATGCCCGCACAATAATAGAGATTGATGATTTTGTGTCTTCTCCCGTCCCGCAGGAGAAAACACGTCATTTTATAGGCTATTAATAAAGAGATTCATGGGGTTGTTTGTTTCGTTTCTCTGGCCTGCATGTCTTTTGACGCACTGGTCAGGAATAGCGCTCCTATTTCGTTGTTTTCATTTAGTTTTTAATGAAATAAAGGCTGTTTCATATTCTATTCTCCTCCTCTGTATTTTATTTATTTTTCTACCTTTATATAATCACGCAGTGATTGAGGTTAAGGCAGGCCTGGTGCCAGGATGAAGTTACTGAGGGGGCGGTTAAAAATTATGAGGGGGCAAATCTTTATTATGCAACATAGGTTCACAGTGAGTTATTAAAGTGCACAGACGTGCGTAATAGTCGCGCGTAATGACAGCTCGTCGCTGGTGAAACACAATAAACTGCCCGTCTTCTTTCATGTTTGTCTCATCACAGATGGAGCTTACAGACAGACAGGTGGAGTAAGCGGTAAATTGATATGAAAGCTGGTTCAGGGCATATTTGTCAATTTATGAATAAATATAGAGTGGAAACGCTTATGCATGTGCACCAAGATCCTGCAGTGTTTTTTTTAGCCGCCCGTTCCCGCCCGCAGCAAAGTCCAAACCGCCCGTTCCCGCAATATTTGCGTTGGGTCCCGCGGGACCCGGCAGGACCCAGTCCCAAAGCAGCCCTCTACACTACATTGACTCTACAAGTATTGTACTGTGCAGAGCTACATACTGTAAGTTCACTTATAAGTGTGTAAAGTATACTTTACACACAGAATAAAGTTCTCCCATGGATGTGTACCTTTGAGCCGGGATCCTGGGGTTTTCCAGAAAAGGGTCCCTTCATGGACAAGTCTCCGGCGGAGCAACTCTCCAGGCTTGAAAAGTCCACCATCCCTAACTCTGGCCTCAGCCCGCAGGTCCAGTTTGGCCTGGATCTCTTGTAGACGCTGTGTTTTCTCCAGGTCCTCCATCTGCCAACCAGGGTAGGGTACAAAATAGAGTAAAGATGAACATGAATTAACTAATCTGATTCAGTTTAAACTGAATATAATATAATAAACTGGTGCAAAGTTTATCATCTTAAACATAAACTTGCATGGAAATTCAGTAATTTTCCAAGATTCCAGTAATCTTCTAAGAAGTTTTTAAGACTGTATTTTGGGCTTTTATTGCTTTTATTTATTGCTGCTTGCAGCTTTAATTATGATTATTATTATTATTAGTGGTGGTATTACTATTGTTATCATTATTTTATTATATTATTATTATTATTGTTATCCCTTATCAACTCTCTTATTTTCTCTACACCTTATATACTTTTTTCTAGTCTGACAGTGTGGAACGCAACCAAACACACACACCCATGCATACACTAACATCAGAGCATCACAACCCCAGCACCTTATCCCCTTGCTCCTTGACTAAACTTTTATAATTGCTTTGTTTTCCTCGTGTTGTCCTGTTAATGTTCTGTCTTTTGTCTTGAAATAATGGAATAAAAAGGCACAGGTGTTATAGAATGATATTAATGTATATAAGATTATTAATGTCTGTGTGAAATGTTATTAATGTAATATTCTGGCCAATACGGTATTCAGACAGTACTTTGGTACCTGTTGGTCTATTGAACTTAGAAGTTCTCTGACCATGGAGAGAGCCTGGGCTAGAGATGAGGCTTCTTCTTCATCATCTAGAAGAGACATAAACAAAGCATTATTGTGGGAATACAAAAAGCTAAAACAACAGACACAATGTAGACAGAATATTATTTAGTCATCATTGTCTATTAGTTTTATCATTGATTAGACAGACCCAAAGATCTCCTCCTATGAATTTAGTATTGCTTAGTGTCACTTGCTCAAAAATTATCTGTCGTCAAACTAAATTCTCATTGCAGTAAAGTTATTTTAGTTCATATAGTTGCAGCAGCACTATGTGCACAAGGTTTGAGTATAGAAGAAGAATATAAAGGGCCTGTGACTGATCATTATCCTCTTATCTTAGCAACATGGAAAGAGTTCACAGTGGTGCAGGAGGCGAATAGCTTCTCCACATAAGAAAATGGGACTGTTGTCTGAATGGTGCAAAGTGCCAAGATACTTCACCTCCATATGCTGTTGAATACAAGTTTGTGGATATGCTGAATGTCCTGTTAATGTCATGTTTGCTGTGCACAGGCCTGTTGTTGCCTGACTTGACACTGTTGTATTAACGTAGACCTTAAAGATTATGTGGATGTGCAAATCTGCTCTTATTTATATTGTGCTATGCAAAAAGCTGTAGACTGATAATAAGGCCATTGTGATAATTCACCAGTGTTGTCCAGAATGCGCTGAACAAGGACAGGATACTTGGAGATCCGCTGCGTCACCAACAAGATGCACTCCTGAACACCATGGCAACGTAGCAAGGGTCCACGACTCACCCGCTGTCCAGACACAGAAAGACACACTGACATTCTCTTTTTCATTCTGTTTAAAAGGCAACTTTGAGGATAAGGAAAAAAAAGACCACTGTTTAGTAACAAACAGATAAGGCAAATGAACTGGACATATATAAATTAAAATAAAAACAGGTTTAGAATCTTTTAGACATGCCAACTTGATCTCCCTACTTTTGTAGAGAATAACAGATTAGGCAATGCTGAGTAGCAGAAGCAGTTCACCACTTTTAGTTGAACTCTTGTGCTGGAGGTAACATTAACAGTCAACATGTTCTCACTGTCAATGCTTCACATATCGCCACTTGGTCAGTAGACTTTCACGTCTACAAATGACGTGCAAGGTATCCTGGGTGCATCTGTTGTTCACGTCTTTCACTTCACTTCCATTTCCACAGGAAATGTACTGTTTCTCCTCATTAGATTCATACAGTCTTTTTTAAAAATAAACTTACAATGGCAGTAAGTCACCCCATAATTCCTTTTTTCCCCTGCAACAAAAGCACGTGGTTAGGTCTAGAAAAAAAACCCATCATGGTTTGGCTCAATGTTCAAACAAGAAGCCAACAGTAGGCTCCTGGGTGAAAGTCTAGTGTTTGTAGGACCCATCCACCACCCCTGCCACCTGCCCTATAGGGCCTTTCAGCTCCTTAAATGATGTTGTTACCCTGTGGTGTTTCAAACTGACGCTGCCTGGTGGCATATCATACCACTCAGACAGGATGCCTTTTGTCATCGGTGCCTGACGCAGAAATCACTAGCCAAGAGGCGGTATTTGACGACAGGTTTTCATAGTCTGTGTACTTGGCAACCAAAAGATTTTTATTTTTTAATGAGGAAAAAAAAACATTGAGAAACGAGCTGGGTCCGTCTATCAACCAATCATCCAAGTATTTCAAAGGAAAATGATGTTTTCTTGTTTTTGTCTTGAAATTAATAATAAGGAAACCCAGAACCTGTAATTCCCCATAATAAAGTTGAGTTGAGTTGAAACCAAAGAACAACTTTAAATTAAAGCTGCAAGCAGCGTTGGGAGGGACCTCAGCCCCTCGCCGTCGTCCCCCAGCTCACATAGACGACGCGAATCAGCCTGAATGTATGTTGAATTAATATCTGATAGTATACATACAGTACAGGCCAAAAGTTTGGACACACCTTGTCATTCAATGCGTTTTCTTTATTTTCATGACTATTTACATTGTAGATTCTCACTGAAGGCATCAAAACTATGAATGAACACATGTGGAGTTATGTACTTAACAAAAAAAGGTGAAATAACTGAAAACATGTTTTATATTCTAGTTTCTTCAAAATAGCCACCCTTTGCTCTGATTACTGCTTTGCACACTCTTGGCATTCTCTCCATGAGCTTCAAGAGGTAGTCACCTGAAATGGTTT